AACGTCGTTTCAGTAGTAAATGCAGTATGATCACGTGTGTTCCTGACCTTTTAAACTCTCTTATCTTAGAGGCAACAAAAAAACACAGACGTCACCGTAATAATTTGCCGTTGCCTTGGCTGTCGAAGCGTTCTGAACATCAAAAATACCCAACTCTGTACATTAGGACTATCCTAAATAAAATTGATGGAATTGACTTTTTACCAGAAGTTATTTATATCAATATAACTAATAATATACTTATATTATAATTATTAACATGTTTTATTCTTTATTTAATGGTAACAAATAATTTCTAAGCAAATGACAGTTTTTTTAGTTATACGATGGAATATTCCTCCGTTTTTGAGCTTGCTTGACAATCGTTTTTGATGAAAATTTTTTTTTTTTTTAATTGAATCTTCCATCCATTTTTTATAATCAAATTAATACATTTATATTATTAACATTTTTGCAAATACGTTATCTCAATTTAAAGCATTCTATATTCTGTTGCAATATGTAAGTAACTTATAAATTATAATCTATAAAAGTTTTCAGTTAAAGGTGATTCATAAAAGGCGTTAAAATTAACACCATATTTATTTAAAATAATGCCGTACGACACAAAGCGTATTAGTGTATTTGTCTCGGCCCATTATTGTATATGAGCTTAATATTATGTTTTTGTTTAATTTTTAAATAACTATTGACTATTTCGATAAACAAATAATTGTATGCATTATGTATGGCAGGAGGGTTTAATTTCTACAACTCACCCCTCCAAATTGCGCTTGTACAATTATTTTTAGTGATAAAAAATATTAGTCTTTGGACACTGAAAATGGAAATACACGTCGGACTATTCTAAATTTATATTGTTAAATTCATTATTAATTGTTAAAGATACTTTATTATTAGTTTATATAAAAGCTTCCACCCTTCATTAATAGGGTTTCTGAAAAATACAGCCTCTCACTAAATATCCTAAACCGAATGCCTTAAAAAGTAACAGTATGCCGCACCGGCGTCTTCTATAAAAAAAAAAAATACTCATTTAATTACAACTGTCACCTTAATTAATTAAAAAATATAAAATAGTTTTTAATTACTTAGAATCAAAATTATTCATTGGCAAAGATTCATTTTTTCCTTTATTTTTTCATTTGTTTATAAAAAAATATTAAGAATAGATAATAATAAAAAAAAGGCTACGGCAAAGATTGATAATGTCTTCACTTTACATTGTGAAAGTTTGGTTAATCTACTGTTAGTACTGGCCTCACATACTCATCCCGCACATAGCAGTTTTATTGGTAAAAAAATTGTAATTTACCTATAGAAATGACTGTGATAGTCAGACAAAAAAAAAAAGAAACCAATAAAGAATCGTCATTATTGTATTAATAAGTGTACACTATGGTTCAAGCTCAAATTAAGATTTTGCAAAAAATTGCCTATACTTTAATCCTTAGAAATGGTCCTATCGCTTAAATTATGTTCATAATTCACAAGTTGAATTTTTTTAACCGAATTCAAAAAAAAGGAGGTCTTCACGTATGTATTTTTGATATAATATGTACAGTACACACACTTAACATTTTTAGCATTTAATTTTTAAACTTTTAGCAAATACAAGGTTCGACATAGTGGCCAAAGAGTGTCTCGACCCAAAGCATGTGTAGTAAATAAAATAAAGTTCATCTTAATTGTACAACAGTAATTTTTAACAAGGGTACGCATAAGTTCCCGACAAAAATCACACTTCACTGGCCAACTTAAAAAAAAAATATTTTGGACAATCATTACACACATATCATGTTGAGCAACGATACAACATTAATAACTACATATTTATTAATAGTGTACCGTGTTGCGATTTTTACCGGAAAATTCGGCACTTGTCAATATTGCAGGTATAATTATAGGTTTATATTATATCTTGTATTTCATTAAAATAACCAACATTATGAAACCCGACGCCAGTATAATAACTTATAGGCTAATCGGCAAAACGTCGCGCAGTCCGGATACAAGTATAATAGAGCGGTATCAAGTGTAGTAATAATACTAATAATGTAGATCATTATACAACTATATTATACGATAGAACCGATAATAGTCGACAAAGTGGGCCCGTGGAAGACCTAGCCGGCAATGGCGGGTTCCAAACGACAGACGGCCACGGTAATTCCCTACGGTTACCCCGACGGAAACACGGCATAGGACTATTATTGCCGCTTTATTTATACACGACGTATAAAAATGTGATTTTTTTGTGATATTTCTCCACGTGAACGGTGAACCGTCCGTCCACCGACACCTATATTTACCCCGCGAAACCGAAAAATCCACACGATATATTTAATTGAAAACGGTACAATATTGTATTTGGAATAATCATAATAATATAATAAACGGTGTGTAACTTTTTTTCCCGTACATAATAACGTCTCGCTCGCTCGGTTCGGCCGGCCTATGAACTTTGCACCGGGACCGGCGCGCGATAAGCCCCATATTATTATACATTATTATATTTAACATCATTATACAGTAACCGACGGACTGGCACACTAGAGGACGACCGTGACGCTAAGAGCAAGGGGATAGACAAGAGATAGATAGACAGATAGAGAGAGAGAAAGATTCATCACAGCCGAACGCGGAGGAAAAACCATTACACTAAAATACACATGCGTGCGTATAGGTTTAATATAATATAAATTGAAAATAAAACCTCCGTTATCTGCTCCGAAGGCCTGCGGACGGAGGAAACCTTTGACCGGCGTTTATCTCCGAACTCGTTAAAAATCCATCGAATTGCTACATCGGCCGAGCAAACGTCGACGCTTACGCACGCACGCACAGGCCGAACGAATGAACATTTTTCAATAATAATATTGTAATTATAATTATTAACACACACACACATCTTGTATATATATATATATATGTAATGTATGTATATTGTTGTAATATACATACATTATTATAAAGACCGAGTGGAAGGAAAAAAAAATGTATAATATAATAAAAACCGACGCACCGTTTTGTTTTGTGTGTGATTTTTTTTTTATTCGATTTCCGACCGTCGGCATATTGGAAATTATGTAATGCGATTTGTGTAGATTTTTTATAATTTCAACCATTTTTCCCGTTTGGATTTTTTACCCCGTCGGATCCGAACAGAGACCGCGCGAGAGAGGTAAAACTGAACGCGGCAACTGTACTCAAACGACTTTTTGCGTACAAAATACACACACACACATAACATAGGCACAGAATGTAATATCATTTAATATCATTGTACACAGATATATACATACATTTATTATTTATCTAATCGGGTACACGGCTGCCACGGTCGTAGCATGTCGTAGGATAAGACTTTTTACATTATGGGCGGCCCCGGCTGCTGATACGACGGGCCGTATAGCACATAATATTACAATCATTCAATGATAATACTTCCTATTTCATAAACGTTATTATAATATTAATTATTATAATTATTGATGAAGGGTATGCGCCGCCAACCAGATAAGGGTTTGTTCTTGGTTGTTTCTACTACGATATCGCCCTCTGGTGTGACTGATGGTCAGTGAACTTGTTGCCGCCGACGGAACACCGAAGATATTAACGCACAAATAATACCATTAGGACAGACATTCCGGCTAATGGGCAACCTTGACTTATGGAAATCGGTCATCATCTTCATCGCGGCGCCAACGATTAGTAGTACCGAAATTAAAAACGATACTGTGAGAAAAAAATTTAAAAAAAAATGCATTTTTCTTCGGTCCGCAAAGCTCAACGGAAATAAATTGTTCGTAGAAGTAAATCGAATTTATTATGATTTATGACGTTGCCGATTCTCGTTAACGCGGTTTGACGCAATACACCAATTTGGACAATTTTTTTTAATAATATTAATACTATAAAACTGTATTATTATTATTATGTACCCGGCGAGAGGCCCCGTCAAGGCGCTTGTTCGCTACAATGTAAAACAACGTTTCGTTTTAAAAACGAATTTCAAATATAGAACAAAATAGTATTATGTAAGACGTAAGGTTTGATATAATGAGTTTGATTTGACTTTTTGCCCTCGGCCGTCGTTGAAAAAAATCATGGAAAACACACTAACGTGAGACGTTATTAGTAATTGTAGTAGATCGGTGGACACTGATTTTATTAGACCAAACGTGTGTTGATGAATACACCAAATGCCGAGTCTTGCTACATACATGACGACAAACAATAAGCTTTAGGAAAAGGTAAATTCAATGAGCAACGGCTAACGAGTAACAATAGTTTTTAAAATACTTTTTACAACATAAAAGCTTTGGATGAATCGATCAGACCTAACACAGTTGGCCGGAAAAACACCAAACAGGCGGGTTAATGCCAACTATGTACCCAACCCGGATTGTATCTAGTGATCGCCAATACTTCGGCTATCTGGTTTGCCACATCTGTCCGCGTACCGAATACGAGACAATCAAGTGTTTTTGAGACGATACACGGTGGCGTATACTTTTCGAATCCGTCTGAAGACGGTGTTTGGCCAGACTTTAAAGAACTCTGGCCGACAGTGCAGAAATTAACGCTCATATCAGACCACCGACAGCCGCGGTGATGTTTTGTTTTATAACGTAACAACAGTAATAATATAAAAACGACTAGTTTTTTAACACCATCGGCGGACGCGCAGGACCGGAAAAACCGTATAAGCCGAACGTGGACGGGCACCGGTACGCGTGTTTGCGGCAAAACACTTATCAGACTTTTTTTTTGGTTGAGAAAACACGGTTAAAAATATAAATACATAGCTAGATACTCGTAGGCGGCACGACCCGCGCCCGTTGTAACAATTCACAAATTATAATAATTAGAAAAAAGAAAGAGATATTATAAAATAAATACTCGACGGTAACGTTTTGATCAGCGCGTTGAGTTATATTTAATAGTAAATAATAAAATATTATTATAAAAACCGTGTGTCTGCTGTATGCACTTACCAAAAGCTCTCAAGTAAGTGGCGTTGTTGTTGTTGGCCGGCATGTTGTATCGTCCGCCCGTGTGTTGCAGATAACGCGTCCGGTCGGCGGAGATAAGGCGGAAAAGCGCGTATTAAAAAAAATAAATGTACCAATAATAATAATAATAATAATAATAATATTATTGAGTTATCGTAATATTTTTATCGTAATACTTATTATCAACCAGCCGAGTCTAATGGGTAAAAACTTTCGATAAAAACGCGTCACGCGGTACCTGCGAGTCGGCCACCAGTGAACGACGGGCCGTGTGGTCGTCGCTTCCGCCGACGGATGTTGTGCTGGTCGAGTCCGGCAAAAGAGGAGGTAAACAAAAATACAAATAAATATATATATATATGTATACTATAATATTGTCTAATGGCTCTCGTTCGATGCAAAAATTCTATAATAAAATATACTAATTAAAAACGGTTGGATTATTATTATTTAAACGTGTTTTTTGTTTTATAGTAACGAGGCGAGAGACGATGACTTACGGGATGTATATTATTAATAAATATATATTAAAATGTGTTTTTTTTTTTTTGAACTACGATAAAAAAAAACGATCAATGTGTAAAATTGTTTGTATCTATTATACATACACGTATCTATATATTATTTAAAAAATATGTTTATATATATATATATATATATAGACATATATATTATAATAATCTAGCGGACTCGTCCAGGGCACCGCGACACGGCCGACGGTTATCGGTATAATATTTGTAAAAACACACACACAAGAGCGCCAATAATATCGCGTTCGGCGGGTGAATCACGCGCGCGCGCCGGCCGGAAAAGTGAACCGGTTCGGCCGAGGCGGCGGCGGCGGCGGCCGCGCACGTTGCCCCTCCGCGTCGCTCCCCGTCGCTGGGCCGCTACCCGCCAGGCCCCTCCACGTTTAGGCCAGGCGGCGGCCACCGCGGGACGGCCCACTTTTCCATCACTGGTCCACGTTTACCGCCGCCGCCGCCGCGGTCCGGGCAGCCTCCACAATCCGCGGGCTACGGTCCTGTTAGTAATTTTTTACAATCACTTTTTTTTGTACGGGAATTTTCATTATTCGTATAATCGTTTATCGCATAGAAAAGCTTCTCACAAAATGTGAAGAAAAACCCAATAATTAGAATTTTTTTAAAAAAATTTCAGTACCGTAAAAACTTACGAGGACGCGATACCTCCATTTTTATTAAGGAGAGGCAATTGTTTGCAAAATCTTAATTTAAAATAAGCTGTAACGTGTAATTATAATTTTAACAATAAGAACTCTTTGTGTGTAGTTCGTGTTTGTTGTAACTTATTATTTCGGGCTATTACAGCATCTTTGTCAGCGATTTTAAATATTCTTTTCATCTAACTGTATTTGTTCCTGACCCGGAGTCGCGTTCCAACGTTAAATTTTCAATGTTAACTGGATCTAATTCTGATCCAGATTTAAAATCAGGTTAATAGGATCTGATTATCGTCTAATCCTGAATGAAATTTCCACTCCGGATTTTTGATTAGTTGCACAATGGTTTTTTTTTTTGTTTAATTTTTTTCCGGGTTTAGCTTTTTTTGGCACTATGTTCCTCGTTTTTTTATAATAAATTCAAAGCTGGACATTTACAAGGAAAAAGTTTCTTTTTTCAGTAACTTAGAAATTAGATTGGAGGTTACACCATTTTTATCAAACACCCAAACCACGTCAACTTTTTTTTTTAAATTTTGTTTGAAGTCAGTTAGGTATGTTTATGTATTTATGAGATACTAAAAACATCTAAATATTTTGTACAAATTTTAGATAAAAAAACAGCATTATAATCGTTTATTTTTAACGTAAAAAACCCCGAAGGAAATAAATGAAATACCAATTTAAATTCTTTTGCAGAATATACAGTTTAGTATGGAATAATTTTAAACAAAGCTATTATTGTTGAAATTAATTTGATAAGATGTCCACAAGTTTATGGGGTCAGTGGCTAATACTTTTTTTAACTTACAATTCTATAAAACGTATTTAACATAAAAGTAGTCTGTGAATTATAATATTATAATCAAACTTTTTTGGCAAGTCTTCTCCTATAAAAATTGTTAAAATCAGTTTTGGAATAGATGCCTAACATAGAACCTACTTTATTCAACTTTTAACCAAGTATTATCATAAATCATTATTGATTTCCGTCGAGTTTTTTAAAAACTAATTTACCGATAACAATGTTACCTTTCGTAACATTTTAATTTTGTAAATGTTTTTTTTTATAAAGAAAAAAGGTACATTGAAGTCGAATGATAGCATCTTTTTTAGTATTCCTAGTGTCTATATTAACTTTCGATTTTACTTATGAAGGAGTTCGGTATAGGCAAAATCTTAGTTTAAAAATAACGAAAAGCGTTTGTGGATAATTCATTTTTTTTTATTAGACTTCTTACTTCTAGCGTCTGTTTCTAACATTTTTCACTATTTTTCTTGTTTCATTATTATTGGTCAGCTATGAATTATTGTCCTATTTTGCCTGTATAATGATTTTTATGACGTTTAAAAATATACGACGTACCTAAACTGCATTTTTGGATACTGTAATTAAATAAGTTTATTAGAATTATGAAAAACGGAAAAAGTGAATTTTATACAGTTAATAATAATGAAGCTACTAGAAATCTCAACAAAAACCAACTGACATGCGGCATTTACTATATTTATATGTTTTTCCACAATTTAAAAATTTAACAGCAACTATTAACCAAATAGGACAGTTAAACCTGTAGTTAACTTTAAACATAATCTAACCTAACCTAATATAACAATGCGACAGTGTGGCGTTTTCTTAATAAAATATCTCTGAACTTGTTTTGTTTTGCATTTTGCCGACCACTGATCTAATAGGTATATTTTATAATTTGCTTACTCAGTCGCCCAAATTTGAGTATTAAGTTTTTTACTCAATTTTAAAACGTCCTTGGGCCTCTTTCTAAGAGTTTACGGACTTTTGCTGAAGCTATCTTCAAATGTCCTTATTTTGACTTGTTATAGTTGAACCGTTGTTATCTAAAGTCAATACCATATCAATCTGTTATCTCTTTTATACTCGTTCCTGATTCTGTCTAACTTACCTAGTTACTCCTCACATCAACCTCAACATTCTAATTTCAGCCACTTCCACTTGATATTATGAAGTTCCTTTATAAATAAAAATATTTACTGTTAAGTCAACTAGAAAATAAGTATATTATTATTATCATTTTAGTGTCAATACTGCCTTCTTTAAGATGTAAGGTGTCTAAACATTTGTTTATTGATATACCCGGGGCAAGTCATCAGTTTACGCCACTTATATAATAACAATAAGTATTGCATTTTACCACTAAACCAGAATTTACATTTATCCTACATTTTAGCGCGTCCTCCCCACGTTGGTAAGATTGACAAAATAATTTTAAATATCAAGATATCGTCACAGCGAGCACAGATAATCTGCTAAGAAGAGAATATCAGTAATTAGCTGTTACAACAGTGACTATCTCTTATTATTTGAGATCATTATTATGTCAAACTGACCAACTCAACGTTATGGGTGTGTTGTGAAGAATTCAAGTGTTTTTTTATAACTTAAATCAGAGTATTCTTAGGAACAGTATGTTTGAAGTAGAATGAGCTGTTTTTGACCAAAAATACGCAGATGTAGAAATCCCTTTAGTTATTAGGATAAATCTGATCAGTGGGCAATAAACACTAGGTATTAATTTAAACAATAAATAACGTCCATGGAACATAACTCTACTATACTAGTAATTAAATCCGAATATTTAAAAAGTGTCTACCGACATTTGTTAAGATGCGGAAGCTAGTACATTATAAAACTTAAATTATTTAATCGAAATCAAGGTGTAATAGTATAATAAACTCTATTTGGAAAAACACATTTTTTTTTGGTTTCCTATGCTGTAAGTAATTACTAATTTAAATATAATCAATTTTACGTCTCTTAGCTACTTAATGCACATTTTTTAAAATTAAGTAATAATTAATGCAAAACAATTTAGTAATGTTTTATTGTGCATCGTAAATGTACAGAGTGCATGTAACATTTTCATATATTTATATATATAAACAACTTTATTGGAAAAAAATATGAGCGGACTGCTCGCTTTGCGAGTTGCCTTTACGCCACAGTTTACCCTTATCAATACAGCATACATAGTAAACATAGAATTAATTTTAAGCTAAAATCACATAGAATAAAATAAAATAAAATATAAAATGTTTTGCGAAAATGGTAATAATTATTATGTTGACAAGAGATAAAATTGCTTCATAGCACTAGGTACATAAGATATTCATAAAAAAAGTATATCATCAAGGTATATATAATTGTCAAGGTGTTTAACTTGGTAATATTTGATATTATAGAATAAAATATAAATATATGCATAATGTTTTTATCTAGTATAAAAGTGTATTTAGAATATTATTGTTTGTTACAGTTCAGTTTGTGTTCTTTTTTTTTTAATGTAGCCGGACAAATATAAAATAACTTGAAGCCTTTATGCTTTTACGATAAAAACATATATTATCTATAATTATCATTGTCCTAATTTGATTGTATTTTGTACTGGTCAAAAAAATTGTGTAAATTGTCGCAATATATCCATCGGTTTTAGACATAATTTGTGTCTTGCGTAATACATATGCGACGGCCACGTCATGTTTCGACACTCAGAATTTGTATAATTAATTATTGTATATTTATTAAAATTAAGTTCTATTCTTTTCGCGTTTAATTTGTACACACGCTATACAAATAACTAACAAGATAACATAATTTAATATTTTATTGGGTTATTTTACATAAATACCCTATTTATTGAACAAAAATAATTGTATAAATATAGTACCGTTCCATTTTTAAACTATGAAAACTCTAAATTGAAACAACTCATACAATAAGAGCGTATGTTCTATATATAACTATTATAAACGATTTTTCACAGACTATATGTCTTTTTTGCATGGAACGTACCTAAATTATCACAAACCTTCAATTATTCATACTGTTTTATTTTGTTACAACAGACTTCACTGAAACAAAAATTGTTAATACAGTAATTTACATGAAAAATATATTTATTTATTTGCTCTTGCGTTGTATAATGTTTAGTTTATTGAGAAAAAAATTAAATACTCAACGAACAGACAGTTCAAAGGTCAAAAAAACAATACTTGTCGCTTGAACGTGGTGAATATGTTTGTTTAGTCGTCATAAAAGGAGCTAACTGAACAAAAAGAAAATACATATTTTTAACATATGATAGTTATGATTCCAAATTCAACGTCCATCCTGAACCCGAGTCCCAATCATTTAAACATGTTTTATCTCATTTGACTATCACAATATTTATATAACTATATGTGTACGTTTGTAATTTATTATGCATGCTATCATATTATATAAATAAATATAAATCTTATAGTATTTTAATCGCTATTGGTTTGTGCACATATTCATTTCTCTGGTTTACTCTTTCTTCGTATGTTATTATCATTTGATAAAACTGAATTTGTATGATTGAAAGACAAAAACATTTTTTACCTATACTTTCAATTATAATATGTTGATTTGATTTTAAAATGAATAATTTGCAATGTTCAGTGTTCTAAAAAATATAATAAAACACTATGGGAGTGTAAATCATTAAATATTAGCTTTTTTACAACTGAGTGTAAAATATTAAGTATAAAAAAGGAAAGAAATTGGAAATGGACGCCTACATAAGTTTGATTTGTTTTACTTTTATTAACTGTTATTAAACTATAACTCCCAGCGCGTTAAAACATTATTAAAATTTGTTTTAAAACTTAAGACCATTGTATTTGTTTCTGCATTATAACTTAAGCCCCGTGTGATTATACAAGTCCAATACAAACTATAATATTATTTTATACCATTATTTTATTATAGTTTTATTAATGTTTTTTTCTTTAAAAAATATAACATCAAATTAGCTATGCTAACATTGCTGGTAACAAAAAGTGTAACCACGAATAAATTAATTTTAACAACGTACAAACAAGTAAAAAAAAAAACGAACAAACAGAATTTTCAACTTAACATGACATGGTGCTTAAATATTTTCTGAGACATTAGATAACATGGTTGTACAACATAATATAGCACCTTATTTATCACAGATAAATAACGAAGTTTGTTGTTAGTCCATCAGTTTAATATTATCTTACAAATTAAATTAACTAGGTAATATTTACATACAAAAATGTCTCAAGAGTGTTTGTATTATTAAATAATACACAGCAGCATATATTATTTAAATAATCAAGGTCTAGCTACAAAATCACGGGATTTATTTGTCAAAATAAATATCAAATTATCAAAAATTAAGTTCATTTTTTTTTCTTATAAAAATGTGATGGTAACAATAAATTTTACAAAATTATTTTTATTTGTAGATTTGAAATAGATTCGACTAGGTTGTTCGTAGTTCCCTTAATTTAAATTGAATGTAAATAAGAGGTTGATTCTATAAGTTGAATCGATTTTGCACCTTTAACCTGTACACAGTACATACAGTATTCTGTATTAGTATATTTCGAATACATTTATTGAATCGGTGTCTTAGATATTTTCGTTATGAAAAATAACCAAAATTAATTTTGATAGTATTCGTACAGAAAATGTCAAATCAAATAATCAAATAGCCACTACGTTGACTTGTATAAATTGACATTAATCGTTTAAATATTGTGTTCTCCGAGAACGTTAGACTCTTCTCACACTGTTGTCACAGTTTACTGCGTGGGTTAACTTGACAGAACTGCCGGTTAATATAGAAACCAACTCTCAACAAAATGGAAAACTTTAACTTATTAAACACACACTAAAACGGGCTCATGTGACTGGACTGGTGACGCCGTTGTCCACGACGTCGCCGGGTAAATGGTGTTTCCAACTCCGGAACAAGTATCTGGTGAACTTCCTCAGCTGCCTGAACTTGCAGTAAGTGGCGCCCTGGGCGGATTCCAGTTGTTGGGTTTGTATCAAGAATCCTTTTTCTTTGAACGTTTTTTCCAGACGTTCTCTGGCCAGTGATTTTTTGCTCTTGCGTTTCGGGTCTTTTGACGGATGGAAATCCATCGACTCCGGCAGGACCGCCCCAGAAGAACCACCGGCGGCCATATTGTAATCGACTATCGACGGCACTTGGTCTCTCACGCACAAGTTTAGCGGTTCTTCCACTACGGTAGTACCGTAATTTTTGTAAATCAAGTGACATATATCGGCCTAAAAAAGGACAAAACCAATTCATTTTTTAGAAATTAAAACTTATATTCGTAATAGGTACAGAACGTCTTTATGTACAATTTTTTTGCGTGGTAATAATATATTATTAACGATGATAATTAATTCATTTTAATTTTAGAATTGTATTTTTTTGGATAGGCTTAAAATATTATGATATAATATATTTTTGATTAATTTTTTTTTATCGAAATAGCGGCGTTTACAAAATATTTCACGGTAAAACATGTGAGTTCATACTTGGGATTTTGAAAATTTTAATCCGTCACTGATTGATTGGTACTACACAGGGTGTACAACGGTTCTGACAAATATATACATAGATTTTATACGCAATTCTAGCAGGTCACCACGTGATACACCCAATGTATAACAATTGACGGGCTGCAGGGGAAAACGATCATAGTCACTTAGTTTGCTAAAATGAAGACGGTTACACCATCATGTGGTTCGTTTTCTTTACTAATCAATGCATGAATCGAGTTAAGGAAAAAAGATCACGGTCAATGCTACATATACATTTATCCGCATTATATTATACTTTATCTCGTGAGTCTTTTTGAGTTCTCGAACTTTAAAACTGCAATACTAAAAACTTTGGATATATTGACTATGATTGTTCTTCCCCGCAGCCCTTCAATAATAGTAATTAATCTGAATTGACTGTGATTTTATAAATCTTTCGACATTCTCAACTCATTACCTTCTTCGGTTTGCGTCCCCTCCGCGGTTTAGCGTTGTCTAACGTCATCTCTCCCATGTACGGCAAGTCATCGAATCTAACGCTAGTTTGAGCATCTGGCAAAAGCTTAGATTTCAAAGGTACAGGCGAGGTCGACTGTGCTACGCTCTGAGACGGTTGGGGAGACAACATGGACGCTTCGTAGTGGTTCAAGTATTCTGGGGGTAACGCTTGATGGTGAAATTTGAGCTTCCACCGGGATTTTCGGCGACTTCTAATAACAAACAATATTACAATTAATATAGTAAATTAATTGCAGTCTGACTGTGTTGAACCTTGTTGTTGTAAAAATCAAGGATACATAACAAGGGAATCCTATATGATTGTTTACAAAACATGTATTTAATATAAAATTGTTTACATATATTACTTTATTTAATATATTGTTCTGCGCAAACATGGACTATAAATAAACATGATTAGTAGTTACTGATTACATTTAAAATAGCTTATATTGTATTTAGTTGAGACTCGACACAAGGAAACAAATAACTTATTCAACGTGCAGTAAACATAAAATTTTTCCTTATTCGGTATCAAAAAAAAAAAAAAAATTGAAACGCTTAAAAAACAGCTTTATGATTTCCCAACAAGAAGACTGTCGTCAGAGACGTCTTGGTTAAATTAATGAGATCGCTGTAATACCTTATAGTATCGTGGTAAAAATTTTATGGGTAATTTCCAATTTTTATTTTATTAATTAACTTTACATTATGAAAAATAAAAAGTCCATCAGAAAATTATGATTAAGATATTATTACATAAGGTGTGTGATATTTAAATGATAATATTGTACTACTAATTTACCTAATTTCTGTGTTCTTTACGACAATGATAAAATTCTCTTACAACAATGTATTTTGATATTTGTTTCTCTTATAATATTATCATTCTTTTGCGGAAAATTTTTATTTTAGAATATTCTAGTTTTTAAATAGTCTTTTGAATTAACAAAATTTAATAATCGTGAGCCTAAAAACATGAAGTTTCAAAATTCGAAATTTGTAATATCACTACATACAATTGCACCATCTAGCATTTGCCTAGGACCAGACGACGCTTTGTCATATTATTATCAAAATCAATACAACTGATCAATATAAACTAAAATCTGATACTTTAGTTCGTGTCAATGAGGCTAACGATTATATCCATAACAAAACTATGTAAAATGTAGATAAATTATATTACATTGATATTGTAATAGTTTTTTTATTTTAAACTGAGGTATGACATTATATTGTTTAAAATTTTGATGAAAAGAATATTATGACTCATTTTTTGTTATCTCATTACTATTATACTCTTAGTCTCTTATAACAGCCTGGCGCGTTGTAAAAAAAAATCATTATGCGTTTGCCTTAATTCTATTTAGAATTAAATGTGAAAAATAACAATGCATTTAAAATTCTATTATAAGACATTACAATCGTATGATTTATTTTATCAGAGATTCCTGTAAATAGTTGAAAATACTATTTTTTAATGAAGAATATTAGTTATTATGTACATAATTATTATTCATTAATCATTTGAGAGATATACAGAATGATTCATTTTTTTTAATTATTGTGATTTTTGAAATCCTATTAATTAAGTTAAATCAACTTAATTGCTTTAAAAATATTTATACATTTTAGTTTTTTAAACTTTTTTTTGCCTTATTGCGAAAATGTTGTTTCGCTTCTCGGTAGTAACAAAACCGTGGATGTGATACTTAAAAAAAACTGCAGGTTATCAATAACATAACGCATTTCAGTTTAATTAGTTATTTTTCCATTAAGTCAGGATTTTATTTAAATGTACACGGTATAAAAATTCAAAGTAATTCATAAAAATCTTATATCATCATTTTTATACTCGTTTACAGTGTCTATTTTGGGTATTTTTATTCATTATATAAAAATATTAAATAAACATTGAACATGTCAGGTTATATAACTTTCTTATTCCTAGTTTTTTTTGTAAGTAGAAATTCGATAATAGTTCATTTATTATTATACTTTTTGTGACCAAACCGAAGGTCGATACTTCGTTTTTTTACGGTAGTTTTAGATTATTTTTATTATTTTGGTTTTAAATGAGATTTAAAACATTTTTACATATGCATAAAAAATTTCATAGACTTTTGTAAATAACCATATAATATGGGTTGCGTTGAATATATGTATTGGAAGCGCTATCTGCCGACCTCACTAGAAACGATTTTTTTGTTTCAGAGAAATGTGGTAGATGGAGCCACGTGTACTTAGTTTGGTGTGGAAGTCCTAGCCAAAATTTGAATCCCTACTAATAAGGTAATTTATTTAGATGGAGTCTCAAATCTCACAAAAGTAATTACACCGTTATACCTACTTATGACTTTTTATTACTATTATTAATTAATTCATAGCACACGCACGCCATTATTTCTAGATTTTATTGTTTTTGTAAAATAAAATAAATTCTAAGGTATTATATTGGTTTGTCTTACCGGCCAGTATCCTTCGTCGCTGGCACTATTCCTTGATCTGGGGATTTTATGCTTATTCCCTGCATCTGAAAAAGAGGCAACATTAAAAATAGTCAAGTACCTACTATAAAGATAGAGCATGTCAAAACAATATAATAAGACTACCGCTGTGCGTTTTATGATAATTGTGTTCTTGTATGTTATAAGAAGTTGTAGTTAGATATAAGTTAGGAAGCTAAGTAGGTAGGTTGTCATCGAGCAATTTGATTTATAATTTGAAATGTAAAATTAGCTCTTGCGAGTACTATTAGATTTTAGCATTATCAAATGAATTTGTCGAAACGCCACTATTTTCTAAACAGGTCTAATTCGTTTAGAGTAGTCGTAAGTTTTAACAATTTTAAAATTAAAATGTGTTGTGTTTTATATCTCTAATTGCGACTGTTCAGCTATTATTATTTTTTTTTTTACACTTGTTTGTAATCAATTAATAAAAAAAGTATTGATTAACCATTTAGAAAAAAACTTCTCTTACGCCGCGGCGTACTGGTTATGCAATTTGATGCACATTTTGTCTATTGTTATTAATTATTATAACTTAACTTCAATTGGAATCATCATCTATTTATTAAGTACAATTATCAGTCACAAAACTTTATAATGCGAATCTCCAAATATTTATCTGTAATATACGTATATTGTCTTTATTAAGTGCATTTTTATGAGTTTCATAATTCAATTTAAGTTGGCTAAAAAATGTTTTTCTTTTATTAGTCTTTATATTCTACTATTGTCCTTATAGAAAGTCTAAGCTAAGCTCAACAACTAGATCGTGAGTTACCTATTGAAATGTTTTCCAGTTCTCTTACTTTCAGTTATAGTCATAATGGTCAGTTATAAAACACGATTTAAAATCAAATGCAACGCTATAAAATGTTTATCGAGCGATAGCTAATTAAAAACCTATGTAAAACTGGATAGAAAAATGTTTTTTAATTTATCCATACCATGTGGTTATGTAAATAGTTTGCTAACGCAAAACCCATAAGTCATATCTTAATGCCACAACTGGGATTTTGTATTACACGGTTCCAAATGTACAGAATTATTATTATTTTTATCATCATCATCGCGTCACGCAATAACTTTCCGAGTACTAATAGAAACTGGTTTTTTTTTACACTCCTCTTTGTGTGTACTTTTTACCGTTCTGAGATTATTATTTGAGAATGAATAATAAATTATAATTTCAGTATCGCTGTTTACCAATGTCTTCCATTCACACTATGGTAACCTGTTGTGAATGGTAAGTACACTAACACTCTCATGACGCACTAAACGCGCCTACGCTATGCGCTCCTGGCCAAACGTTCTTTATAGTTAATTTGATTTTCGTTTGCGAAAAATGTACGGATGTTTGGCGAAAACCCGTTAAAAATAATTAGGTCATCGCTATAAAACCAACTTTCCTATGTATTCGACGTGTTCAGGTTTTGTTTGATTTAAAATATTTAATAGCACTTTACATACGTATAATAGTGTAATATAGGAATTGTTGTAGAATGATAATTTCTTAAAATTATTTTATTACAATACCTTATATGGTCACCAATGTCTGACTCAGAATACTCAAATGAATGACTAATATTATACTAGATGCAATTTTTTGATATAACAACTTTAATTTGTGCTTCAATGTGTAAATCTATCACAGTCTGTTTATCGTGCCCAAAAACAAGTTTAAATTTTGTTTATCGAATTGGATTAGTTCCTATATCAAATTATAGGGATAGGAACGACTTCGAACTAATTTGTGATGACAATATCACAAATTAGTATACACATACGTCTAATTTGTAATTTCAAAGTAACTTAAAATTCATATATTGTTTAACATACTTAAAAAAGTGTAAGTAACATATGAAGTACATATATCTCTATTTTGAATGGTCTGATATTATTAGATTAATTTGGCAATTGTTATTGTACTTGTTTTAATACAATGATATTAGTTATTGATTAAAATTAAACATGGAAATAAAAATAATAGTCGAGAACCAAAATGGTGGTACTTATACAATAATAATTAAAAAAAAAAAAAAAACGTCATAGATTTATTATAATTTTACTAAAAATTGTAACTTAATAGCAAACCACATAAAAGCTATTGTGCGACGGTGTACCAGTTGGCAAGAGAGATTTTCATGAAGTGTTTGACAAGAGTTTAGATTTTACATTGTCATTATATACACGGTTCGACGGGTATTGTATTATTCGATTAGAATATTTTTGCATTATTCTCCGATCAATCAATTTATACTGCTGCCGAGATTGAGGTTTGCAATTATTGCGGTTAATAATTGTTTTTCTCTGCTGCGGGCGCCCACGAGATTTGCCGGCGATACTATACCTACGCAAGACCTTACCCATTCACGTTTTGAACACGTTACAGACCTTATTTAAAAGAAGCCTCGGGGTTGCTTAAGTGCCAACCGATCATGAACACGATCCGAATAACATAGTGTACTGTACTCGACAATTGGGTGGTAAAATAAAAACGTTGTTTTTAATAAAGCACATTCGAGCGGCTTTCATTAAACGCTGTATGGTGGCGTTAATTTTTACAATATAAAAGTATGAATTATTATTATGTTCTGTGTGTAAATAATACAGTATTTTATGCAAAACCATAATAAATCCTTGGGACCATGTTAAAGCGAACAATTTAATGCCGTTAATACGTTAAATGTCAGAGCTGGATAACGAGCGGCACTATGGTTTTCAGAACATTCCAAGTACACTCGACGTTTTGTATGAGAGAAATTATAATTAAATGTTTTTATTGAAAGTGTAAACAATTCAGTGCGCCAACCCGGTGAATCGTGAAATCTAGGATAACATGGAAAAAGGTCATAGTTGTAGCTAGAAGGGGCGGAGCCGGGACTGGGAATTTTAGGTAGAACCTTTAAAACTCATTCGGGTTTAAAATTGTCACCGATCAAACTGACATAGTTTCCGAGTAATGTTTTTTTTTTTATCAAAACTTCGTGAGAGCTTGAAGGAAATGAACTTCCCAAGCACTTCCTCTAGCTAAGTCACTGAATATAATCATTAGGCAAGCACACAGTAAAGTCATGGCTGGTGCAATTTAACAGAATTTATATTATAACACCGTAACAATAATATTAATAATACAACTTTGTACGGTTTAGTAGGTAGGTAGTGTTTATACTGGAGTCCGGTCTTAGTGTGCCAGTTTCAATCCCAGACAGTGAGTCGCCTAGACAATGCATTATAATATGTGTTTGTATGATAATCATATTGTGGTGTGTATTTTTCTATGCTATGTACTCGTTTACTACATGCAGATTACATGTATATTATGCAATAGGTTAAGCAAGGAGTCATCAGCAGCCGCGTCTTGTCAATAATAATAATACAATTAAATAATATAAAAAATATATTTTCAATGTAAGTAATAAAATAAAAATAATAATATAATGATCTTTGGAAAACTCGGAAGTTATTAGTGAAAACAAAACTACAAGAAACAAATTCACTTCAAACTCAATACAAACTCCAACCCTTTTGTACACACCCTTTTATTGGCATCTCAAATTCTCCGTTATAAGTTATAACCCTACTTGGCATCAGAAAAGGCGATGACGTGAAGATCTCGTTTGTATTCAAATTAGATTTCAATTTATATTTAAATTAGTTACGCGAAAGAGCAGTACCCTACTTGATTGTATTTAAACATTTGTTTTGTCATACCCATTAAAACTTTTACATATTTTATTCGATGTTTCCATATTTTGTACGGATTGGAAATCGTAATAAAAATGTGATTATTATAAATTTTAGACACATAATTTTTTTTTAATTACTTAACAAAACTATAATATGGAAACATGTTCTTTTTATTAGTTTTTTAAATATATACAATCAAGCTGTAAGAACCATTATAAAAGATAACGAATTTCATATTAAAAATACATTTAGTATTATGTATTAAATTTACTATAGTAGGTTTTATAAAATTAGAACTTGTAAATCTTTTTCTATGTGTATATATTGTGTTTTCTACGTTTTTAAATTGCATTTTAAAAATACAAGTTGTTTAGATCGTTAGTGAAATTATATACAAAATATTTCTTGTACAAATAATATTTTGGTCACATTTAATGCACATTTTGTAATTTTTTTATTAATGTAATTATTTTGTATTACTCGAATTTAAAAAGTGAATGAAAATTATAATAAGTCAAAATAGCGCGCGATATAAATAATTATAAATATAAATAACTACTAAAAAGTAAAAAACATAATTTTGTTGCCAATATTTTTCGAAGAACTACGTAAGATGTTTTGGATAGTGAGCTTGAGTTTAGTTTACGATTTATCTGAACACGACCAAACTCATGTGTAAGTAACTTCCCACAACATCTTGCTTGCCAGTATCTTTGTGTATGTAATATGTTCCTATTTGTAAAGTCACCATTTTATTGAAGTCATAACACAAAATACTCAAAATACAGTAGATAAATGTTTTAACAACAATTTTAGATTGATTATTCGTAAGCTGTAGTTGTAGTGGAATAAATGATTAATATTACATTTTCAGACGTGGAAATAGACAAGAAATCATTGGTTTGCATTACAATGAGGTTATAGATGTTTTAAATATGCGGCAAAGCTGGAATGTGATTGCACGAGAATCTAGCTGAACGTCAAAATTATTGCAATATTTAATAGTTGTGTAAGTTAACAAATAATATACCATGGCATTCCATTTATGACTTAAGTGTTATGGTTTAGATCAGTTTTCTTTTGAACGAAAATGTATTTTTGGCACTCATAATGAACGATTTTTAATTTTAAAATAGCCTCTTAGCTCTGCATCGAAGCTTAAATAGTTATTGGTGTTCTCGGCATAACGGTAATAACCTCTAGTAATCGTTACACATAGCTGTCAAAACACATTCAGACCGTTGGATAAATTTGTGCGATATTGACCGTTGTCGATGAAGCGTTTTTAGTTTTTTTTTTTGGAGGGTCAGTACCAAGGTCCAAGTGCGTGTTATTTAAATTTCGATAATGACACACTGTCACAAACGACTGAATTAAAAATAGCTAGAAAATATTTCCCCTATACCTATTATGGTGATTTACACTAGAGCATGTGTAATTTATATGTTTGGTATACCCGTACGCTGTTCTCTTGGACGTTTTGGGGAGGTTTGACAAACAAGCCGCTGAACAAACTTACGCCGAGTAAACAACGTCTTACACCTATCTCGTAATGTGTTAACCTAATTTCACGTTAACAAAAAAGTTCAAACAAACAAAACAGAGTACAATTATTTACTCGCCCGTTACATACGAATTAGCTTATAATATGTACATGGCCGCCTCTATTGATTTTCAGATGGAAATGATACGATATCAACGTTTTGTCGGTAAACATGTTTTTTTTTTTGGAAACGGCGGCTTTAAATTATACACAACGCGTTGTACATACCCGTACCTATGTTTTTTTTTAAATTTACCATAAACAAAAATGTATGTATTTTTAATCTCGCGTCGTAACATCAGCTTACTATTGCTTTTTACATAGTCGACTGTAACTTCTTGTGCATTATTATTGTCCATAAAACCGAACTGCGACGTCAGAATAGATCTACAATTACACATAAACGTTGTACTGCGAATGGCACAATGTGTATAATGTATAAATGTTGGCTTTGCTTATAAATCGTTTATTAAACAATGTTTACTTGTAGCACCATAATATAGTAATAATGTAACATTAACTGTTTATCACTTGTCTTGTGTATTAATAATTAGTAATATATAAAGTGAGAGATTTCAGATGCCGGTCCAAAGGGATTTCGGCTTTAGTTTATTTAAAGCCTAATAACCATCATGCCAACGGTTATGACGGAAACAAAATAAGGATCTACCACGATTTAGTTTCCATTAATAAATATTACCTATTAGCGCGGAAGAGCTATGAGGACTTAACCGACCCAGACTTTAATTTTTTATGTAACGCCTAATTAATCACCATTATTACTGACATTCACGAGTTCGAATAAAGTAGGGTTCTTTTTTATTTTTATCATTTTTCCATCACTATAATAATCGGAAGAGTATGAAAACTATACCACATCTACCAGGAACATTATAATTACTAGTAGCCTTGATATAATTAGTACATTTTCCAATTTGTAATTTCTACATGCACGACTATTTTTCAATATCCCGTGTATCAGACTTTTTTAAGACATATCGCGACACTTTGAACTTTTAGAGAAATATCCTAAACATCCAACGCAATTTAGCTGGATTTATAGTAACGTTGGGGCGGCGCAAGAGCCATGATGTTTTTAAGCTGATCGCCAAAACAGCGTTGGGATTCCTAAATTGAGGCATTTAAAAATGAAATTAGTTAAAATTGTATTATGTCTGTACCGCGTATTGCATCCGCGCTACGTACATGACATTTGAATGGTACAAAAATAAACTTGGCAAAGAACAATGTAATATTATAATTATTATATTGTTGTGTTCTTGCTTGGAAAATAACGCTCAGGTTGTAGAACGTAATTATTAAAAACTGACAAGCCTTAGTACCGCTATAAAATTATATTTAGATGAAAAAAGATGCCAGCTCGAATCCAACGACACGATAACGGGTTTTTAATGTCAACAAATTGTGTAAAAAGCTACTGCGATTTCAACGCTTCTAAAATGTCCGAAATATTAACAAAATATTGGTATAACGCATGGACCATGGTATATATTTAAATTATAGCAATAATGGTATAACGGGAATGTTGCCAATGATATTGACCATTTTGTTGAAAAAAGAAAACTAGTAAATTTAATACTAGAAACGTTCTAAAGACAAAAATGTATAAAAATAACAATAGACAGCATAGGTCGGGCGGTAATATAATCCTTGCGCACAATCAATAATTATGTTAATAATTGTTTATACTATTAAACATTTTATCTGCTAGCAATTACATCGAGTATAAATAAAGAATCTAAAATGTTTGGTCTTTTAAAAAAAGGTTAACTCTTACAAAAATATAAATTGAAATATATTATTTGGATAAAAAAAAATATATATTTATAAAATTGCCTAAGGGTATACCTGTTAAACAATATCTGTGTGTTTGTATATAAAAAATTAGTATAGTTTTTATTCATATAAAATCTATAAGCCATTGACTACAAATATTTTACTTAAATAATAGCTCCATCTGTCCATCATAAATCAAAATAAATTAACAAATTACGTATGTAATAGATATTATGCAATTTTCTTCTTTAAATGTGTTAAAGAAAATTATTTCAATTTGATTCATGAAATGTGGTATAAAAAATAAGATAACATAGATGAAGAAAAATTAAAACAATCATGTACAACATCTAGAATAAAAAACCAGATCTTAAATATTAGTTTAAAAATTGAGATTAAAAACTTATAAACGTTCTGAATCTTGTCATAACTATCATAGAAATCATATGAAATGATAAGTGCAGAAAACTAGTATATAAGGTAATTAATCTGAATATTTAATACTTGTGTATTTATTATAACAATTGATATAAATCTTAATAGATGTTTGTTATAATTAATTGGAATCCGATGGTGAGTTGATATTAATTTATTAGTATCCAGTGTATTTAGACTTAAGGATAAAGGAGATGAGAAAATTAGCGTTACACCTCACAAAACATCAACTCTTTAATATTAAAATTAAATTATCGAAATTTGATCGTTTCATGTGCGTGGTTAGTTTTGTTTTACTTTGTCACCAGGGCTTGTTATGAAAAAATGGTGCCTTTCATATCTTTTCATGTGGCACAGATGTACTTTTCAGGGAAAACGATTTAGAGCTTATCAACTAGATCCAAAGCTACACACATTTGAAGTCGAAACGGATTATACACAGTGCACATACTTAATTGCTTACACCCTTAAAACCCCACTGTCACATGAACTTGGAATATGCTAAAACTGTATTTATATCATTAGGATGATAATATTTAATTACAGTTTTACTAATTTAAAATTTAGATGTTTTTATCCTTTTTAAAAAACAAATTATATTTTAGTTTTAATGTACTAAAAATTTCAATTCAACAAAACTGATGGACATTGTAAACGCATTACTGTTACAATTAAAAATAATACTTTAATTTGTCAAAAAGACAACTTTAACATTTTAAGTTTTTTTAAATACATTTTTTTTATAAATTGAAAAAATTATTAGAAAGATATTTTTGTCTATCTTTAACTGGGATGCGCAGCTGAAATAGTATTATTGTATTTTAGAATAGTTTACAATTTATCTACAGAAAAATATATATAATTTACTTGAAAACTAAACCTAATGGCATCATAAAAGTAGAGATCCAATGACACTTGTTCAAATAGGTTACCTCATTATTTTTTAGTTTATATTAATTCATTTTAATTTTATTTGATACCGAGCAACAGAAGGATAATTATTATTTGTTGTAAAAATATAAATTGTTTGAAAATTTCACGTACTCCGTACAGCTTATTGACTATATTAATTAATTTAGTTTGGTGCACAAAGGAGACGATGTCGGATTTACCATTATGTCCCCTATGTTGGGTAATTGATTTTCCTTCGCGCTATTATGTCAGGTTTAGAACAACGGATTTGACTTCTCCGTGCAGTGTCTGCCATTCAGATATACCTGTACATAAATGATGTATCGTGTACGAACCGACAGATAAATAAATATAATACCTGGGACGAAAATTTGTAATAAATCCGCTTGAGATCTGTTGGAATCAATCGGAAGTATTAATACTCGAACTCGGTGTATACGACAACTTGTGAATATAATAATTAAAAATGTATTTAAACAAATAGTGTACAATACGATAGATAGTAATAATTATGAGCGTTTGTGTCGTTTTATGAGGAAAAAAAAACGGTGACTAGATGCACATGAAAAAAAAAACCAAAACAAATGAATAAAAAACCGTTTACAAAATGATTTTGCCCGTCGTGCACACCAGTGTGTGTGTGTGTGTACTGTAATTCCGGCTTTGTGCGGTACTGAACGGTCGTATCACACGGGCTCGGCGGTTAACCGCTTGTGGTACATGTGACTCCTACGAAATTCGAGATTGAACCGTATTTGGCGTCCGTTTGAAAACCGATGGTACATACTATATTTAAAACACCCACCTTATTATACCCGGTGCGCGCGCGCCCCTCCCTTAAGCCGCCGCCGCTGCTGCTGATGCTCTACACAAAACACAATATTATTGCGCGCCGTCGTCCGCCGCCGATTGAACCCGACCTCTGGTTATGGTATGGCATTTTTTTATTTATAAAGTCGCCTTGGATGTCTTTGGTCCATTTCAGGGGCTGGGGGGGGAACGGGGCGGGGCGGGGCAGGGCGACGGCGAAAAAATAAAAAGAGCAGCGGCACCACCGACATCAACATCATCATCATCATCATCATAGCGATGCATTTATATTTAGCTTCCCGTATAGTTTCGGTTTCGTTTGGTACCCGACCCATATAAGGCCGACGATTCAACCTGATAACGCGTATTAAGTTATTGAGATAACGACTGATAAGCGAGGATGCTGCTTTGAGCCCGATCGTATCTTCTGTCCAACATTTTTTTTTTGCACACAGTTTTCAAAAGGCACGAAAAACAACAGAATTGCTGTTATTTTACTATTATTAGCTGCTGTTCCCGTCTCATTATATAATTTTGCAATATAAACATTGACGTGTTATTCATTTGTTGTACAATACGGTAGTAATGATATTGCCCCCTTAGCCGAATACGTAGCATGTTTGTCAGTCTTCAACCGATTACGATACTGATTAGCTAGACGGATTTGTCAATACTCGGGTAGGCCCGTGTTATACGCAATTGCATGCTTGAAATGGGCCCAAAGACGCATACATTACCTATAAATTGCCCAAGTAAATTTTTAGTTTAACTATAGTTTTTTTGCTTCAATGGTATAGTAATTGCAATCTGCAAGGAAAATCAGGAAAATATCATTAACTCTTCTTCTGAAAAAGTTGGACACTTTCTTGATTTGTTGTTGGACCTAGGGTCTGAAAATTAGACTTAAGGTAGATATACTTTTAGATTGGTGTAATTTAATACACTCACTTGTACAGCTTTTACAAATATTTGCAGCAATTTTTTTTTTTATTAAGGATAAAAAATAAAAACAGCTGTTAATGCGGCGATCATTGTCAAAACATACCCTTTTGTGAAAATATGTTTGTTAGTTTTTTAATATTTTAAAAATGTCTCAATCGACCCGTCCAAATGTTTAGTAGATTATTTTAAACTCGTAACGTTTTTAAAATACATGCGTTACCATAGTAATCGTTACTCGTTAACTTTATTACTACACTCTAGCAAAACAAATTCAAATCCTGTAAAAAAAGTGTATTACGGCTTATGTCTTTAAAGTTTTTATTAATTATAAAATGGTTTTGATCCGAAACGTATTGTTTGGATACCGACCGAAAACTTTCTTTGTAAATATTCGAAATAATTGTTGCTATACGAGCAACATTAAAAAAGCGGTAAGTACTTACAAGTTGTTAGCTAAAATAATGGTCGTAGAATTAATGGTAACTTAATTTAGGGTAATTACTTGAATCTCGTAATATGGTTTTAATTCCTAAAACAATTAAAGAATATGCATTAATCATTTACTCGGTACCGAGTTAAAAAAAATAGGAGTTAAGAAAACCGTCAAGAACAAACACTGTACGTTGTAACGTTGTGTCTGTACAAGAAAGTTAAATTTTCCGCCTAAGAACAAAATATGTTTTATGAATTTTTTTTTTAATTCTGTACTAATAGTAAACTTTGTTGTGATTTATTGATATTTAACTGGTCGGTAATAGTGAGTTGTCTACCTACTTATTGTTTAAAATATATGTAAGCACCTACAAACTTTCTTAGAATTTATTTAGACTATAATTGAGTAACTGGCAATAATTTATAATAGGTACACAATATATCCCTTAAATTACATAATACATCTAAGCTGTTGAGACATAATCTGAATAATTATGTTGTTAGACGTTCTGAAATTCACGGCTTAGTAATTTATTTAAAAAAAAAATGTTATAAGTTGTGATGGTTTAGAAAATAATTTTAGTCAATTTATGTATTAGTTCAATTAATTACAAGTAGTACTTTTAGTACAATACAATTTTTTTTATTTATTACATTTATTTATTTTTTACATAAAAGTATTTGATAACACGTTTTCCAGTTCTTATACGCTTTTTAAAAAATATAAAGAGAAAAACATTGTTCAAGGACGATATTTAAGCTCAACAATTTTTTTTTTTACACACTTAATCAAGTTATCTTTTACATTTAAACATTTTTTTTTATACTTTTCTGTCAATACTAGGTATATTATAATAATTTTGACAGCTCATTTGTTATACAAATCCATCAATGGACCGATTTCTTAGAAACTAAACTTAAAATTTATTTTAAATGTAAAACTATTCGGTTGCTCCTATAAAAAATTGGTTGTATTAGTGACAACCCTATATTATTATTGTTGGTCCAACCTAACTTTAATCTTAATGTTAACTTAACTGAAGTTGATTCAACTAACATTTCAGTCAGCAATATAATTTATTCAGTAAAGTCAATTACAAAATTTCGGTTATTATTTTTTCTTCATTGTATTCTTTTGCTGAACGCATCCTATTATTACACTTACGCTTTAAGTACACCGCACGAGGATGTTGTAAGTATCAGTTGAATAGTTTTATAAAAAATTAAACCTATTTTATTTTCAACTGCTGTTGTACGCTCATTATAATATTATATTGTAAACAGCGCAATATTCTTTAAGAAGGCCAGTAATGTTCAAAATGCAGTTTTCAGTAGACAAGCGCATTAATCGCCGTATCCTCCTACGTTGAAACTACATGTGGGTCAATCATTGCAATAATAAATATAATATATTATTTGTACATAGAATGCACCAAGCACGCGCACGCCTACAAACGCAGTGCGTTTTTATGTTCCCTGAAATATTAAACTATTACGAACAGACGGTGCTTAGGCATTTATCAAAGTTTGGGCTCGGAAAACTAGATTTTTTTTTTAAAATATATTTTAATTAGCGTTATAACGTCAATGTGGAACGCAGAGCATTTGTAGTTTATGCCAAAAGTTTATTGTACGCTTTCAGTCACTGACAGCCGTGTTCAAATTATTATATGTACAAATATAAGGCGATTTTTCTTAATAGCTACTGTTATCGTTATCAATATGTCACACATATTTTACCGATAGACTATACTATCAGTGTAACAAACGTCTCTTGAGACTGGTGGGCGATCAATTTTGTATCAATTACCATGCAAACGACTTGTGTTATTGATGTAAATGTTTTGTTATGTGCGTCGTTTTTTGTCATAAAGCCAACTGCGCTGCTGGACGGTAAGTATTGAATAATTGTATTTTAGAGCATTTTAATAGACGTATTCCATAGCTAAACGTTATGTAGAGATACTGTTTAATACGGCCTACGCTCAATGTATAGATTAAACATCAAATTACAATCATGCTGAACGGCCGACACGATGTTTCTTTTTAAGTAAATGACATAAGCACATAAACATTTATTTTGGCTCATACCGGATGATCAATTTAGCCAATTATTTCAATGCGTGAGTCAATTTTTCTGACAATAATTTAATGACATCGTATACATTTTTAAAAAGAAAAATGTTCAACTAGAATACAAAAGCCAAAATTGTTGAATACCGAAAATATCTATTTAATTATCTATTATTGTCTATAACAAAGACAAAAGGAAATTACCCTGACGAACAGTCGTAAAAATAATTTCATCTGACTCCTATTATAATTAAACAAACAGTCGTTAGTCGAATATTTTCTATTTTCTAGGTAAATTATTTTAATTTATATATAAATAATAAAAAAGCAAATTAATCAACTAAATAAAATAAAATATACATTTAAAAATTGTCTTTCATTATAATTGTATAATTATTTAAATTTTGAAGCACTTACTTAAAAAAAAATTATTAGTGGCATAGTGGTTAATTTATTTAAAATTTATTCTGTATATTGTAAGGTTTTTGTTTTTTAAAGTGTCAACTTGTGATATTTTGGCCAAACAAAACATATAGGTAGCTGGATAGAAAACCAATTTGTTTACTACACTTTTTATTTTACGCATAGAGCCCCTCAATTGTCACTGGAATTGACATTGAAAAGTCGTTGGAATTAATTAAAAAAAAAATAATTTTGTCTATTAATTATTATATTAGGCTTTGATTGGCGCTGTCGTCGTGTGTCACCACACACGTACTTGTACTTAATTACTAAAATTAAACACCGTTTGAACGGACGGTTCGGTTGATTCGACGGGAGAATAAAGAAATACAGTTAAGTATTTAAACTATTGATAACTCTAGTTAATAGTGTGGAGAACGAGTGCACTATCGGAGTGTTAACCGTGAACCACTTCGTTGGGGCTCGTACCTACTTGACGTTTAAAGAGACCGGCTAAACAAGATGAAATAAAAAATTGGCAGCAAAAAACGAGTTGACCAACAGTGCGTGGGGGTTGGTTATTATTATTATTTTTTTTTTTTAATGCCATTTATGGTGTCGCGGTGATGGAACACTCCCAAAGCCCACGCGAGACCTATTCTCTTGTGCGGCGGCATCCGGTTTCCAGAACGAGCACCGCCGCCGTACGTTTGGTGTTTACAAAAAAACTTTGCCTGTGGCGCAGGAATTCGATGGGCGAGGCTTTTAACAGGTCAATAATAGTGGCGAAATTCGTTCGACTACTTGACTACAACAAAAACGATCGCGCCTGTTCATTAGGTATACAATTCCATCCTTTCCGTGTTGTATGTATTATATTATATACGATTAGAAAAATCGTGACCGATTCGAGTTTGTCTGTGTGTTTTCGTGCCGAGAGCCAAGAAGGTACTAAAAAACGCTAAACGTGTTGATATTTCACAGTATAAAACAATAATGGAATAGGCATTCGTGTATGACAATGATCAATGTCGTCTCCGTTCGTTTTGGTCGGCTAACGGCCAACGTTGATTATATATGTATTTTTTTTTTTTTTTAATACTGTTTTAGGCAAACGAATTAAAAATATCCTTACAAATAAATTGCATAAAATAAAAATATATATTTTTAAAAATTGACATTACTTTACGAGAAATCTTAATGAGAACACCAAAAAGAAATATATAGTTAGTAAGTTTGTCCAGAACTAAATGAGATAGCAGCGATTTTAAATCTTAAATTTTGGGATTTTCTCAGTTATTTTTCTGTCTGTGGTCAGTTTTGACACATTGTATGGTAAACAGGAAATCCAACAACAACCAAAAAATATTTGCTTTCATGTAGTATTTTTCATTCACTAATTTGTCTTCAACCATAATTTATTGGTCAAAAAATAGTGTACCCTTATTTTAGCTCTAAATGAAGTTTTGGCGAAAAATGTTCTCTACCTTAACATTTTACTACAAAATTAGACGTGTGAAATTCTCTTTATAAAAATCATTAAATTATCTAGAACTTCAGTCAAAAACTCGAGTACAAGAACTCCGTTGACCCTCTTTGGGTTCCAGTCGACCATAATTCATTTAAAACGATTTGTCAAATGTTATGCTGTGCTCGTTGATAAAATCAAACCAACTGTTTCGCCCGTTTACACAGCTCGTGTGACTGATTCACTGACCTGTTTAAATGTGTTTACTGTTTAACCTAGGACGTGAAAACGTTAGGAGCATAAGGCTCAACACGTTTTTATTTACATATTATTATGATTAACAGCATCCGCGTTTTAAGCGTAAAAGTCGTAAACAACCGATTGTTGTTTGACCGTTACAACAAAAAAAAAAAAATATATGTATACATAATATATATGTATATATTTTATATAACACATATTATACTTTCCTACCGTAAGGACCGTGCAAGTATATTGTGTACATTATGAGTGGAGAAAATGCGAGGTCAGGTTAATTGCCGGTAGTGCGCGGGCAGATTTATGAGCATACTCGTGCATTCAGTTTTAAAACCGTCTAAACCGTATCGCTCGACGGTCCATTGGGATTTGCATTAGTGATTTTATTTCCTATGTAATAATAATACATTAGCTGTTATGAACACTTTAATATTGTGTCAAAACCGGTGCGACACTAGGAGTGTCCACCTTCACGCTGTGCTTAATACGTTGTAAATTTTGTTTAAAAAAAAAACAAAAAACACCGCCAACTACAAAGATCGAAAAGTCTTTCGATAATTCATGTACCGAAGTCGGAAGTACATACCTAATCTAAAATAATATAAATTGTAATTTAGTTAATTTGATTAATTTCGCATAGTTGGGTCGCGACGATGATTTGGTATATAATGGTAATGATGTTACTTAAAAATAAAACGCTTGGATGCAGTAAAAATTGGGTTTTTTTTTAAAAAATAATTTCGGATAATCTAATTTTCGAGAAATGTTAAAATACATTTATTTTATAAATTTAACCTTTCCGAAAAAAACACGATTTTGAGATGTATGGCAGTGCTGGTCTCGAATGAAGCGTTAAGCTGGCGAAGAAGATTAGATTAATAACTAGAAGACATTAAATATAGTTATATAACTATATAACTTAATAGACTATAATATGTGGTAAAAGTATTGAAAATTAGCCTGTATTGGCCAAGTAACTACTTTTAGAGTTAAGTAGGTTTGTTGTTTAAAGGTTAATTTTCTTTGGTTGTATTAGGTATATCGAAAAAATACGGATGATGGAACACAGATAATTTTGTCATAAATAATATGTATGAATTTCTTTCCTTAACTATATATGAAGTCTGAGATAAATTAATTGGCGCAAAGCGGTTTTGAAGGGAAAAAATTGTAATTTATCCTATAGAAATGATTGTGATTGTCTGACAAAAAAAAATGGCAATCAACAAAGTATCCTCATTACTGTATTTTAAGTATGCATTATAGTTCAAACTCTAAAATAAGATTTTTCGAAAAATTGCCTATACTTTACTCCTTAGAAATGGCCGGTGTGGCGTCCTCTTAACATGGTCGAGATTTATTAAAACTACTTTTTTCTTAAATATTGCCTATACAAAACTCCTTAAAACAGACCACATGCAATCCCCTTAAGAGGACGCCACACCGGTCATTTCTAGGGAGTAAAGTATAGGCAATTTTTCTTAAGTTACTTAGTTAATGATTATTTAAAGTATAAAGACGATTTTTTTAAAAAATATTTATTTATAATGAGAATTGAGAACGGCTGGTAAAGTGTTTAGATATTTAGTATTGTTCAAGTTCTCTGTTGCTGATTTCTATAGGTAATTACCATGATGAACATCCAGTGTAAATATACGAGTAATGTTATTATTTTTGCCTGTCTATTCTTATTTACATAATATTTTACTTGTTGTGCCAACGTGTACAGATTAACTTATAAAAATAATAAATAAAAAACATAAAATATTACAAAAAAATCGTAGCCACACATCTTATAGGCCCAAAAATGTTCGTAGGCCCTAGGCACAGTGCCTATAGTGCCTATGCGCTAATATGGCTCTGGTCCTGTGCACAACGAGTTTCTCAGCCGAAGCACAGATGGATTGTCTCTTCCGTGTTTGGAACAAATACAATTCATTTGTTTCAAAAAAGTATTTTTATAATAAATAAATGTTAAAATAATGTATTTAGCTAGTAACCGAATTAGACTTGCCTGAGCACAAAAGTCAAAACTCTAAATCCTTGTTTATTGAGAAATCGTATTAATTGACAAAGAAACTATGCAGATGGCTTATAAAGATAGGCTATATTATCATTATGACAAATAGTCTGCATCAAGACGGTCTAAAAATGGCTATTTAATCTTAAATTGGCTATTTAATATTAATATAACCTATTATAGCAACGGGACCCTAAAAATCCAGATTTTCACCAAAAAAATCTTACATTGAATATATTTCTATAAAGCATAAATTCTAAGTATAAATACAATATAATAGTTTAAAGATATGATGAATCGAAGTACAAATTATTTGATGAAAAAGAAAAAGAAAGCTAGTACAAAGAGGTCGGGGGATATAGTAGTTGAAAATAGTAGGGTTAGGGAGTTCACAAAATTATAATGATGATTATATTAGAAAGTAAACTATCAATAATAAATTATTCAATGCAAAACTATAAATGTTGTGAAACAAATTTGGAAACTTACATAAAAATAACCGTTTAATCAATTTTTGTGTTTCTTTTATGCAAATGGTTTATAATTTTTCCTCAATGTTAAGTTTTATATTTTAATATCTACAAATTCCCAAACTTACTAAAAATATTATAAATACTAACAATTTGACTATTTTTGATTTCTAATAAAATAAAATAAGTATTAAAAACTACTACAGATTTGTATTGTTGCATAAACATATGAGTAAAGTATAAGCTAAAGTTTTTATTTAATCTTGTATTAACATAATACAAATAAATCCTTTTGATACCTAATAATTATTGTATGTCACTCTAACAACTTAGTTAATTATCATTTGCATGCAAAAACATCTCAGGTTATGAAATTTTCTAAGAATCTGAACAGTTTTAGCGTCAAAAATTAAAGTTTAAGATATATCTAGATTTCCCTATGAACGCGTTTTTTGATAAAATATTATTAGTAATTGAGTTTAATATTTTTTACTTCTTTTTATATTTACCGTAAAATGAATAATCGAAAATTGCTTGTGTTAAAATGTATACCTACACGTTTTTTGTAGATTTATAGATGTATTTTCACAGTATAATTGCTTCATGTTAATACACGCGAAAAAAATAGTAGCAAACGCGCTATAATATTTCTCGATTACATATTTTCGATTTGATTATCTTCTTTAGTGACTTATTCGACTACTAAGAGTTCAGACAGAACAGTTAGTAAATAATTGAACAGAGTTTTTTTTTTAATACAGGGCATTTTAGGGTCATTCATTTATGCCAACAGTCATTCGCCTCAACTTTAGGCCCCCACTACCCGATACGTGTGTCAACTTTTACAACGTGTATAAATTACAATGAAATTTTAAATATTTATAACGATGAATTGTTTTGCTCTGTTAATTACTGACATTGTAACTTGTAAGTACCGATTGTGAAATACTGACTAACATGAATAGTTATGAATCGTTCTCGCGTTTAAAACACCAATGATCCAGCTATAATACAAAATCCACCAGTGTGTAGGTTAGTTGAACGCTCGCAGTATGTGTAGAATCACATTACACAGATGTACAAATAATGCAAATTATGCTACAAAGTGCGACACGTTGACATTGCATAGGCCTAATATTGTAAACTTTCCATAAAATTATTGTTTTGTTTTTAATCTCGCATGCATGTTCGTTAAGTAGAGAGTTTACAGTATTCTATGGGAAACACACAATGCTGTTATAAATATTTATTCCGGTTAATCCGATCTTTAAGTATCAGCTAACTAATTTACAAACGCAGTGCGATGGGATCGATTTGTAAATGCTTTGTCCGGCAGCCATTAATAGTGCGACGTCTTTTAAGTATTAGTGTAGTGACTTTGTCATTTTTAGTGGTTATAGTGATTTTACAGCAAAAACCTTCTACGGCGTCGTCTCCTACACAAAATGAAGTATGTATATTTCAATATTTATTTGAATCTTACCCGCTTTAAAACTTATGAGTTACCAACCCTGGTATAGTATGTGTTTAATATAGGCGTAGTGTATAAATCGTAATTCCTGTTAGAATTGCCAACTCTACTATGGAATTATTTAATTTAATATATTTAAACAGTGGTTCTCCTAAATGGGAGAAATGTATACTATTTTGCATAATCCCCGTGTTTTTAATTAACTAGTTAATTAGTTTAGCTTAACTAGCACAACTTATCACATTTGGTCAGGTATTTGACTTATCTGTTAAATGTAGGACATTTAACATGATAAAATATTTAACATTTATTTGATTGACTTAAGTTTAAACATTTTTTGGTTTTTAGGTTACTTTCGAAAATCCCTCGAGATTAAACGGTTTGGTTTAAATCGTATGTATGTCGTTTTTAACATTCATTAAAATGTCTCACTAACCTTTGCAGAGGAATATGTGATAAACAGACTACCGACAAAAAACAAAAGTAAGCGTTTGATATGGCCAGAAGAATTGCCTTATGGTGACCGAATAAGGGAACAAATGTTATACGTGCCGGATACATACAAAAATGAAACAACAAAACTCAAAACTATTTTACTGTATAACGGAATTGGCAATGATTGGGAGATACTTAAACTTAACCAAGGGGAGTTTTTAGATTGTCCAGTGAGCAGATGCTCACTCACTATAGATAAATCTTTGGCTCCAACAGCTGATGCTATATTATTCAGACACCATTACGAGCGACCCAAACATAAAAGAGAACCAAATCAAGTAAGTAATAGTTTTAATAGCATATACAGTAAACAAATATGCATGGTTAAATTTTTATTTATTAAAACAAATCATAGACACATTTGCTTAATTTGTATAAATAAATGTATGGGCGCTCGATAAAAAAGGGTTGAGACATTCAAACAAAATTTTTAGCATTAAAAATACAAGTTTTAAATAAAATTGTAAGATTGGAAAAAGGATAGTTAATTTTTTCAAGTCACACAGAACTCTTTTTGTTATGCGTCCAATTTGTTGCTCATGACTATCTCCCATTACATAAAAAACAATAAGGTAATTTAAAACGCACATTGAATTTGCGTGCCACGGATAGTAAATACCTACTCAGAATTAAGTTTTCATAATTTATTGGATTTCGACTTTTTAGGATTTTTTAATCGTTGATAGCTGATGGTATAGTGTACCAAATATTCGGTACACTATACCAATATACGATATCAGTTTGTTATTTGAATCGTTACGAGATTTGGCTGCCACCCTTTTGAGAACGATTTACCTTTTTAAAAACACTATAGAGCACAAAATACTGTGCAATGTTGCCAAATCACCAATTTATATTGTATCCTCCGTATGTAATTATTATTTATGATACTCATGGTTCTACTACAGATATAATCTTCTTGAATGCAAATCTTCATGAGAAATCGAAGTTAGTTCTGAATTATTTGAGAATTTACTTCTTAGTAACTATAAAGCCTGAATTGACAATGATTCTTGTATGTATCATTCGTTTTAAGTCACAATTCGTCATATTGTATACTCCCTAGTTTTTTGAGATGATAACGGATGAATATTGTTTTGTCACTTCTTTAGATATGGATTATTTATTACACCGAAGCACCCTACTCGACGGCTGTTATTCCGGAATCTGATCGCGACATGTTCAACTGGACCGCACAATACCGAATGGATAGCGACATACCGAACCCTTACGGGTACTGGTATGCATTCGACGAAGAAGAGATGCAAAAACGATCCCCGTCGCTGCCCTTAAGAAACTACGCACAAGGCAAAACCAAACAGGTGGCTTGGTTCGTCTCCAACTGCCATGCAAACAGTAATCGGTTAGAGTACGCCACCGAATTGTCCAAGTACATAACGGTCGATATTTACGGCCAATGCGGTCCCTTGGAATGTCCCAAGTCGAATTCGGACGCGTGTTTTAAGATGTTGGAGACGTCTTATAAGTTTTACTTGGCTTTCGAGAACGCACACTGTTTGTACTACATCACCGAAAAGTTATTCGTCACCTCGTACTAGTAAGATCAATACATTATATTTTAACAATGCCGAATTTATCCATTGTACACATTGTGTTGAATATATTGTTGCGTGGTTTTACTTTCTAGCCACGACGTGGTTCCCATCGTTTTGGGACCATCCAAAAAAGATTACGAGTTAGTGGCGCCCAAAAATTCGTTCATACACGTCAACGACTTCGATTCACCACAGCAATTGGCCGCTTATCTACACGAATTGGACAAGAACGACGACCTGTACAACGAATACTTCAAATGGAAAGGTACCGGTGAAGTGGTTACCGACGTGACCACGGTTACGTTGTTTTACTGTCGTCTTTGCGCTATGTTACACGACGAAAACCATCCACCAAAGAATTACGCCGACATCAACGAGTGGTGGCGAGGACCGGGCGTTTGTCGTCCCTAAAATAATATCCAAGTATAATATACATATTATAATTGTCTATTATCATTGAATCAAACTAATAATCCTATCAAACAGCCGTTTGATTATGTATAATTTACATAATATAATTTAATTTCTTAAATACTTTTATATTAGAATAATTTGTTCTATTGTATGTATATTGTCACTTATTAGTAGCCTAATTAGCTTCAAATGTTTAGGGATGCTTGAGCCCTCTATACTATAGTATCCATAAAAACGTAGTCACAGAGTATAGCATCTTGATGGGGATTCAGATGGCTCAGGGCGGCTATGGCCCCTAGCTTCTCTTTTACAACTAAACAATTGTACCAATATAATATAGTATATAATATATTATAATGTGTACTGTTTAAAAAGAGACTAACTTTAACTAGGTTCTCTCGTCATTTTTTTTTAAACTTAATTTTACCTTTAATATAAGCATTTAAAAAGTAAAAAAATGCCAGAATAAAAATACAAATTGTGAATGTTGGGTTAATAATATTAAAAAAAACCAACGAGACTCTCGTTAGAGAACCTAGATAAAGGTCTCATTATTTTAAATATGTGAACAAAAATTGTCTACTATTATTATTTAGTCGATAATACAGAATATGGGTAGTTACGTTTGTCTAAAACCGCTGTCAAAGATGCTGTGATAATCCGAAAAAGAGTCCTAATTACTGAACTAATAATATTACAAATCATAATTTAAGGAGATTGCATGCGGTCGGTTTTTTTAGTCAAAACACATCATTTTTATTCCATTGCACAGACCGAACCAGTGATCCGATAACCAATCTAAAAACAGATTTGAATTTGCCATGAAGTTTACTTATGATCGGTCAGGGTACTTTTTTCAGTTTTTTATTTTAACCCTTTCCAAATTTGATTTAAAAATTTAAAATTTTATATAATGTTCAAACGTGTTTTATACATAGTTGGAATAAGATATAAAAAAACCTACCGATCATAAGTAAACTTTATGGCGTATTCAAATCTGTTTTCAGATTACTTATCGGATCACTGGTTCAGCTTGTGCGATGGAACAAAAACTGTATGTTATATTAGCTAAAATGGTTTTTACTCATAAACAAAATAATTTAAATTAAAAATAATACCACGAAGCTTGTACAAATTGACCGGTGAATTAATCGATATTATCGAAATTTATTAAAACCACTTTTTTCTTAAATATTGCCTATACAAAACTCCTTAAAAACCAACCGCATGCAATCCCCTTAACCTTTACATTAGGCAGTATAGTATAGGCAAAAAATTGCCTATACTTTACTCCTTAAGAATAGTGACGGATTGGCGGCCTCTTAATTATTGGTAAAATCACAAACGTAATCTGTCTGGACAAGGTACCTATGCTGCAGACTTAACGGTCACCGACCAGCACGCGGTCCGCGTACGACGGCGCAGCACGGCCACGGCGACTCGGCCGAGACGGCACTCGGTGGTAAAACGTCAGCGTCGGTCCGTGGTCGGCGGCGGTGGTGGCGTGCGCTCGTTTGTGTACGTTGCTCGTTCGTACGGGGTCTGCCGGTTGGGCCGCCTAGTAAGTTTCCGCGTTAGACAATAGTATAGTGAATTTTCCACAGCTAAAGCTCCGGTTTCGTCGGCATTCTAATACCATAAATAATATACCAGCTGCTGTCGGCAAACAAGCAGCGACGTCTGTTCAGCCTCGTCCAAGTGTCACCCACGTGGCACGCACGCACGCGTCCGGCCAGTCGACGGTCACGAGACCTGATCAGGTAAACTGTTATTTGAAATTACACAATATTGTTTGCTTTAAACGGTTTCGACGGTAGCCTTTGCCGAAATCGGACAGTGGTAAATGTACGGGACAATACCAACCAGCCTGTCACTACAATAATTGCTGCTGATAGCAGATAATTTCTGTTGTCCGACAAAACAGCTTTATAACATAGGCAAATTTAAAACTGATTTTCTGCTATAGAAAATGAAAATCATATGTTAGTCGATGATCTTAAACGTTTTACAGATAATTACTGTAACAGATCTGTATGATATTTTAATGAAAATAAATTATTTGTAATTAATAAATATAAAACACTAGTTATACCTATTAATGGCTCATTGTTTTAATCGTTTTATAATATTAATTACAATAACAACGCTGAGAAGACTTATTTCTTCACTATCTATAGTTACTCAATTAGTACATAGTACATCGTGGTATTATTATAATTTTCATGGTGCATATACTGTAACAAATTACATTTAAACGAGTCGCGTTGTAAACTAACTAACTAATCATTTGTAGGCATAATTAAAATCAAAACATGTTCAAAACATCAAGTCATTACTGAGATAAAGTTTTGTCAATAACAATAAGAAACATAGTCATTGATCGTTGGCGGTTGGTTTATAGGTTCACTGGAAAAAATACGTAGGTAGTTGGCTCAACTAAAATTACAGTTAATACAGGAACCATATACTTAGAATTTCACACATACATTGATAAATTAACAGACTATTATTAACAATAAACTTTAAAAACAATAAAATTTTCAGAGGTGTACATTTTAAATAAATCATTGCTAATATTGAATAAACACGTCTTTAAAAAAAAAACCCTACCAAAAACGTGATCTTAAAGTATTTTTTTTTAATTTAGTAAAGGTTGTAGTACTGTCGTATGCGCGTTAAATAGCTATAATAATTAAAACTACTAATTTGTTAATGAAAACGTTGAATTATAACTCGAGTTCATAATTTTAATTCGGGTTGTTCACAGTTGCATACGTTGACTCCCGAAATGAATTTTTTTTTCAATTATAACAGTTGTTATAAAACAAAATATAACTAAATTGATATACTAACATAATAATATTATAATTGTAGAGCAATATCATCTATTAATGCGTTATTAATTTAACAGTTTTGTTAAAATATATATGTATATCCAAAAGGTTGTTCAACCTGTTAAACTTTAGGTAATGCAATTAATAAAAATTATGAAAACCCTATATGGGTTACGCGAGGTAAAACCGCAATAGTATATTAGTAAATATGGTATTAAAAACTAAGTTGAATACAATAATGGTTTGAAGTTTTGTTTTGTTTGTAACGTGAATTGCGAATATTAGGCCCAATTTTTGTATATTTGGCAGCTAACTTGGGCGCAATTCGTGGTATTTACAACTTGTTAACAACTTTTACCATAACTCAAATAACGTTTAATTATAGGAACAAAAAGTTGTACACTCACAAGTCATTTGTATTCTGAAATGTGCTCTTCTGTTTTGACACTCTTCTCACTAAAACAATTGTATCAACTAAAATAGAACAACAGCGTGGGTAGTTCATTTGAAGTTAGGGCAGGTTAGGTTAGGTTGGGCACAGTTGGGTCAGTGTACCAAAATATAATACTATAAGTATGGCATTAAGCTGACTATTCAAGTATAATATCGTAGTGATAATTTCTTCCATGCACTAGGTTTTTAATAATTGGTAATAAATGCAGTAATAATGGTAATATATTGGTAATAAGGCAGTGGTAATAATTACCACTGCAAGTGTTTGAACAGAATTTAAATAAACAATTTTACAAATAATTTATAACTGAGTTCTGACTTTATTCCTTATCCATATTCACTTATACCTACTAATTGTTTGTCATTTGTTCACAGCCAGATAAATTAATCTGACGAAAGCAGTTAAGCTTCATTTTAAAACTTTGCTAGTTGCTACGATAGTAATAATATTTTATCTGCTTAAAACGTATGCATATTTTTTGTAGACTTTTCTGTCGAAGACTTTGTTGTAAGTAACAATGGAAAAATACAATCTGAAAATTGCTGTTAGATTTATTGTGGAATGACCTATTCAATAGTTTAAACAAGATATACCAATATTTTGTGAAAATAAAATTAATTTGTTCTTTTTTGCAGTTATTAGGCTACAGTGCATCATAGTTAATGACGTTTTTAGCAATACTCATGTTCTACTCTTGACAGTGTACTAGAATGTGAAATTTGTGAATACAAATGTACAAATAAAATATTCACTGTACATACATAACTAAAAAGTTTGTTCTTTGATTTCAAGTTTATATTTTTAATTGCATAAAACGTGCATGACGTTGTATAGTGCATTCAGCTGTTTTGGATCAATATTTCTGAGAAACGTTTGTTTTTCAACGGTCGTTTTCTATTTACAACTACTACCATTTAAGGTTTTGCAGAGTTTGAAGGCTTTTGTTAGCATATTATGCAATTTTGATTAAACTTTTGATTAGACGACATACATTGTGTATGTGTACAACGTACATAGCACAACAATTAAATATTTGATTAATTAATTAATCGACACAATTATGATTTTTGAGGAAAGAAGTTAATAATTTAGAATAAGTAATTTCCCTAAACGTTGTTTTGAGTACATTTAAACCAGTAGTTTTAAGATAAGTGTAATATTTGTTATAACTTAAGCGAATACATGGCAATATTAATGATTTTAGCGTTAAATTTATCAAACGCAGTTAAACATATTAAAACCACATGACTTAACAGAAGCTGACACTAGTCACTAGTAGAAGACAAGACTTTGTCATAGTTATGTTATTATAATTTGTATTAACTTCTTTGTCAATATTGTAAATTTCCTTTAGTTTTAGTTTTTGATTGATAATGTTCAAATGGTATAATATCAACAGAATTGGTATACTAAATAATTAAATTATATCTATTTCTATACTATAAATAGAAAACGATACAAATTCACCGAACACGGTTAAAGAAAGTCTCCGAATGCAGCCAAAAGTATCATTGTAGAGTATTCATGAATGAAATATATGTAAATTTGTTGTGGTGTATATTTTTATAGTTATGTGATTTCCTGGTTGAATTTTCAAGGGAATTGGAAAAAATAATTTAACGCTTTATGTGCGGCAATAGAAATTTTATTTTTTACACCGAGGAAATTGAAATTTTTTTCAACCCCGACGACTATTTTATTATTTAGATCTTAACAGACGCCGCGCGCCGTTTGATCTGTTTTCTTTATCTGTACTAGTAATTTTTCAATTTGATA